TATGTAACTGCACAATCGGTTTGCTGTTACTATTTTTGTCACAAAAATGCTGCTTTAATTCTCTACCGATTGGCCTATTACAGAGTACCGAGACGGTTTTAACATCTCGCTGTCTTTCAGGAAGACAAGAAAGAGGGACAGTGTAATGATTTTGGACTGTGTGCGGAAAGGCAAGTTGAGAGCAAGAGGGAAACAACACCGGCGCCGGCGTCACGATCGAGAAGGAATGGGCGAGGAGGTCACAGGAAGAAGGGGAAGGAAGTCGCACGTGGAGCCAACTTCCCCACTCCTCCGCGGTTTCCCGTCTGAGGTTAGCTGTATGTATATACAGATATACATCAAAGTGCGAACACGAACGAAGGCACGGACACATTCTTTCGATACAAAGGTCTGCTCTTTTTCTACACGTTGCGTGCGTACTGGGTATTCTCGTTTGCTCTTTGGTGCACGGCCAGCTTGAAAGGTGCGTCCTTCACCAATTCTCCCTTCTGGTCCTCCGACCTTTTTCGACCGTCACAATGTTTCCCCTACTCAGCAAAGATCACGATGACCCGCAACCAATCAGGGTCGTTTGTAATACCTCCACGTGGCTCACGCTCGCAATCGGTGCGTACGCACACACCCACTGTTATGCAGCTGTATGCAGCTACTGGCAAAACACCGCGTGCAACGTTCAATCGTTTAAAACGGGCACGTCCATTTAGAATTCATTTAAATGATTTATTAAGACGATGAACATGAGAATGATATTAGATGTTGGAATTAATTCTGTCCTTTTATATTCGATCATTTATAACTTTAGTTTAAATAGAAATATTTAATCGTCACTTTGTTATTATATGGTAAATTACCAACCTTCTAGGATTCTGTATCCCTTATATATATAATATATCAGTATTTATATATAATAATATTGTTATTTTGTTTTGCACAAGTGTATATATCTTCTGGTTATGTTTAGAATGTATTTATTATATTGGCTAGTATCATAAATGCATAAACTCCGCAGTCTACCGATGACCATGACAATGTATGTTCTTATATGTATACAGGGTGTCCCAAAAATGTTGTAACACCTTGAAAGGGGTGGTTCGGGAGGTGATTTGAAACAACTTTTTCTTTAGCGAAAATGTTCGCCAAGGCTTCGTTAAAGAGATATTAAGAGAAAACCCCGACCAATCAGAGTGCGCGTATACCGTTGGAGCGGCCGTGGTAGCGAAGACTACGCGCTAAGGGGCCGCGCTCATACGCTACCGCGAGCGCTCCATCGGCATACTCGCGCTCTGATTGGTCAGTGTTTTCCGTTAATATTTTCTCAACGAAGCCTCGGACAACATTTTCGCTAAGGAAAAAGTTGTTTCAAATCACCTCCCGAACCACCGCTTTCAAGGTGTTACAAAATTTTTGGGACACCCTGTATACGAAGATTGGTACAATTACAAGTGTGCTTGATTATTACAGCAATTGTAGAAGAATAACAATAAGCAACATTTGATGGCTACTAAAATTTGTATAGGTGTATTGTAATGATCAATCAGGTTGAAGATTTAGAACGTTTGTACTTTAATGCACCAAATTTTCGAGATTTTTTCTTTCACGGAACAGGATTTATTTAATATCTTTTTTAACTTTGAGTATACTTTAGGTATGTTTTAAAGTACATTTGGTCATTTTTTCAATTCATTACAAGCAGAGATTTTTGAGATATCGGGTTTATATATATTATTACATATAGATAATATATACATATAGTAATGCATATCGATGATATATTATATACATATATTTAAATATTATTACATTAAAATTATTATAATTATATTATACACAGTAAATAGTATTTATACAGTGCTCTCTTGGACTGGTATTAAAACATTTCTGTATTACGATGTCATTCTTTCGAATTATTTTATAATACCGAATTATTTTATAATACTCTTAAATATATTGCAGTAATAATAGGTTTATCGGTGTCCTTTTTGCATTAGTCAGTTAACTTACTTTATAATTATATGTAACATTATTACAAGACTGAAATAATATACCTCTTCCTGAGATAATTGCTAGATCTCTTTATTTTTTGAGCTACTATATATGAAATATAAAAAAAATATTGATTCAATATCAAGTTGTATATATAAAAAGAAATATAATAATTGTTATTTATTATATTTTCTTTTAACTACTTTAACAACTCTCTAAAAAGTGGATCTAACTTTTGAAACTTCCAAAAATAATTTTTAAAAAATCACTGATTTATTCTTTCGTATGTATACGATGATATAACCATTTATATCGACTATGAATTGCAGAATTTTCACTGGTATTATGTAGTATCATGTAGTAACCTGCAGAGGTCAGGACTGTAAAATCACAAATTGCATTTAGTCTATAAAATAATTGTAGTGTTTAACTTAAATGTGAAAAGTTCTCCGTTAATTAAAAATATTATCGTTATCGAATCTTCTTTGATAAATTTGTCTCCTTTGACAAAGGTACATAATGCGCATATAGTTTTCACTACTGTTTACCCACTATATTTGCGCATATGACATTCAGATTAAGGTTCGTAAGAGTAATAACGGTGTAAAGGTCAAATATTTCCATTATTTCAGTGTTAAAAGTACGGTGGGAATTAAAGAATGAGTTTTATGGAGGAGCAAAGGTCGCAAGGTGCGGTCGATGAGCAAATTCAAGCCTTCATAGAGACTGAAGCTAAAAAGCAGCAGTTTCAGGTTAGCTCGCGAGTTGCTTGTGATATCTCCTTTACGTTGTTTACGATTTTGTGACAATTTTTCTAATCAATTCATCCATCAAACATACCGATATTAATTTGCAACATTATTTCTAATATGATGTAATACTACGAACCCGGGGAATGTAAAGAAATATTCATTAATTTCGTCTTTGTATATAATAATAATTATATTAACGAAATTATATTCGAAACCGTACCTTTTAACAGTGTCTTATGCGACCTTTTATATAAATAAATTTAATTATAAATAAGAAATATATTTTTTTAGATAAATTATTTAACATACTAACATAAGACAAGTATATCTTTTCATAAATTTTTAAATGTTACTTTTTACTTTCAGGAATTGACATTTCATTTAACTGGCATTTGTTGGGAAATCTGCGTTGGACGTCCTGAAGCATGTTTGAATCCAAAAGTTGAAAAGTGTTTCATAAATTGTGTAGATAGATTTATCGACACGACAAACTTTATTACAAACAGATTGGAACGTGTAGTTTTGAACAACTATTCGAAAGTGGATGTACAGTAAATTACTGCAAGATCACAAAATCTGCATAATTAGATTATAGATCATACATTATCAATGTTTATGATAAAGTATGTAGCGCTTTGCACCTAACCCTTGATTCATATAACTTATTTTAAAACATGTTATCAAGAATCCGTGGTTTCGTAAGCCGTCATAGGCGAAAGTTTATAGTGGGAAGCATTGTCATTAGCAGTGTTATTTTCATAAGATATACGCAACGTAAGATTCGAGAATGGCAAGAGAAAGAGATAAAGGAAATGCTTGAAAGGACAAAAAGAAGACAGTACTTTGAGTGTACAGAAAGAACATGTAATCAGATGATTATTTCCCTCGCATCAACTCTAAGAAATTCTGTAATAAAGGTTTTAGATACTGAAACTATTGTAAATAAACTCAGAAGTGGCTGTACCGATAAAATAGCATGTTGGAATGAATTGAAGGTTGTAGCAATTGCCAGATCAGCTGTAATAATATATTCATATGCCATGTTAGCTACTTTAATAAGGATTCAATTTAATGTAATGGGTGGCCATGTCTACAAAGATATCCAGAAATCCAATGGTACAACTACAGAGAATATTGTACAGACAAAATATATGTCTCTTTCGGGTCGATTCATGTATGACGGTGTTAAAAAATTAAGTTCTCTTATAAAAGATAAAGTCGCAGAAATAACGGCTTCGATATCTTTGAAAGATGAATTAACTTTAAGAGATTTAGAAGAAATATATTGGGCTATAACGTCATCTATATCTACAGATAATTCAAGGGATCCTGTAAAAAATCTTGCAGAATACATGATACAAATAAACTGCGAAGGCGAGCAAGAGACTGTGTTGTTGAAATTAATTAATGAAACCCTAGATCTTCTAGAGAGCGAAGAAGTACAAAACTTAACACAAAGTAATATAAGAAGTGGGTTTAGCTTATTAGTAGATCACATTTCTGCATTTTTTACTGGTCCTCCTACAATGGAAAATGGTAAAACTACAAATGGTATTTCAGTACCAGGAACATCAAGTCAAAATCATATGAGTTGGAAAGAAAACAATAGCACAGAAGCGAATTATCATGCAAATTCGTTTGTTAATATTAATAAGGTGTCGATGCCCATGGCTAAAATAATACCAATCATAAATGGACAAGTACCAGATAAATCAATATCGCAAGATTTTCAGGCAGACTTATTACAACGTTTTGTAACAAATAACGAACTTAAAACGCTTGGGGCAAATATTTATGAAGCATTTAGTTTTTAAGTTTAACAGTGAAAATATTTAATATGTACACAAAACACAACATGGCATATATACTGTGTACAATATTGTTTCAAGTATAAATACATTATTTTACATTAAAAAGAAATACAAATGTATCGTCTGTAGTAGTACATCATAGATAAGATTTTGTTATATATATTTATAATGTGTTTAAGCTATGAAAAGACAAGTCTATCACTTTTGTATCCACTTGTATATTTATAATATCTTAGTAATGGGAGTATTATAGTTATGTATAATATAAAAATAGAATTGTAAAAGTATGTCTCAATCCTCTTGTTATTGTATGTAATTTCCTCAAGGAATTATAATATATTTTTACTTTTCGAAAATGCTAATTTTTATTTCGTTTTCTTCTTTTCCAGCAATTAATTTAGAAATGTAAACAACGAATATTTATAATTAACTTAATCTTTAAGTAATAAAGAGAATATGATTCAACATTATTTCTGCACTATTTTATTAATAAACAATTTTAATAATAAAAACGGCAGTTTGGTTCAAAATTATCATCAAATGTATAATAAATTACACAAAAAACATTGATAACATTTGAGAACTGCATTTAGGACAATTCATTACATCACTTGTTCATCAAATTTTAAAATTAGAGTATATATAAGATATATCTTAACCCAGTGTATGTAGTACGTAATTAGAAGATTTTATCAGAATATGTTTGCTTATGTTTTGATTTAAGATTCATAAATGAAATGTTTCACTCAATCTCTCAGGGTTCTTTGGCTGACAGACTGCAGAAGCCCTTGGTTATAGCTCCTAAACCGATGCCTTATTCAGTCCTATTGCCTCATACAATAAATGCCTCCTTTTCTAAATTTTATGTTACTTAGATTTTCGGTATCTTTCATTTCGTATTGCATTATTTGTATTATATGTGATAATGAATACAATCTTTTCATTGGTACAAGCATTTTGTAAATGTATGTAATTAAATTGATTAAATTTTTCTTTAAATATTTTCCATCCAATGAAATCCAAATAATCGATATTAATTAGAGCAACTTTATCATACATTAATTAAAATAAACTTTTCTGCGTAGAAACCTTAATCCCAGAAACTCTTTTTAGGAAGATATCTATATATCTATATACGCATATCTACGAGAAGTTTGGAAATCACAGCCATAAGTCATAATATGTCAGTGCGCCGCTCTGCCTTTTGAGGTGCAGGCGCATTGTACATATTAGTAGAGGTCGCGGTGAAATTAAACATTTCTTAAATTTTAATTCTTTCATCATCGTATTAAGTAATTATCAAAATGTGGAAATTTGTAGCTCGTGGTATTCGTGAAACTCTCGAACGGCGTACGTGTCGTACAAATGTTTATTCGCAAACGTCGCAAGATAGCAACGCAAAAAATGAGGTTAAAACTAATTTGACATGTAATCATAAGTTTCTGGCACCAAGCTTTTCGATTTTTAATAAAGAATGTTGTGGATCAGCGAAAACTGATGGTGCTAAAGGGAAGGATCATGATTCCAAATGGAATACAAAGTACTCTTGGTCTGACGCCGTCGGATGGGTAAATTACGCCGTTGTTTATCTTACACATTTATTTAGATTATTTAGAAGTGGGCAAATTGTAGATGAAAATTTTCGAGTAACTGATAAAAGAATAACAATTTTCGATATGTTCATTAAATATTAGAGTTTGAATTATACAAATAAACTCCATAGCTTCAATGGAATAAACATTATACATAAATTGCTATACAAATAATACATTAAATAAATAATTTTATTGACAGACCAGTGTATTAGCTGTTGGATGGGTAGTATGCCAAACGTTGTGTCTTCGTAGAAGACTTTTCGAGAAAGAAAAATGTGATTTTTTAAAAAGCAAACTATCTCAATTTTCTGACACACAAATTACCTACTTGTTTGGTCAAGTATTAAATTTAAAGCCAAAGCATATTCTACCTGTTACTAATTGTGTTGGAAATAATAACAAAAAACACATACAAGAGGATGCAGAAACAGAGTGGGAAGCTGACAAACCATTTGGACCTATCACCATTGAAGAGGTAAGAATGTTATTCTGTAGATATTACAATTTATAATGAAATTCATTGACATTGACATTGTGCCGCTTATTAAATATTTATATTTACTTATATTTCTATGCATTCTTAGGCTCTCAAAGAAGCTACAGAAGAGTTTGCTAATGCTCATAAAATAGCTATGGGTGAATTTGAACTTCGTTATGGTCTAAAAGCTTTAGAAGAAAAACGTTACAAAGATGCAATAAAACATTTTACTACTGGTGCCAAGTTATCATCTACTGCTAGTATGTTTAATTTAGGTTTGTGTTATGAATTAGGGCTTGGAACACTAGTTGATCAAGCAAAGGTATGATATTATTTCTATGTTATATATAAGTTAATACAATGATTCACTTATTGTATTTCGTAAGATACAAGGAATCCTATTTTATATATATTCTTAAGAAGTTTCATCTCTGTTTTCTTAGGCTGCAAAATATTACAATGACGCAGCAGAACGTGGTCATGCGGATGCCATCTATAATTTAGGAGTTTTCTATGCTCAAGGCAGAGGTGGTCTTTCAATAGATGTTGGGAGAGCTCGTAGTTATTTTACTAAAGCGGCAAAGTTAGGTCAAAGTCAAGCACAGTATGCATTAGATTTAGACAAACATTATTATCAATTTGAAGAAAAAGAAAATAATACAATGTACTCAGATAAATGTGAAAGTACTGTGAACTACATACAAAATAGCAAGAACGTGAATCATATTCTTCAGAAGTTAATTAATTATAATAATACGTTAAATACACATTTGCGAATAGAATCTTTAGAAAATCCTGATTGTAATCAAACTGAAATAGGAATTAAAAGTCCAACAGACATGTTTCTAGATATACTTGGTTTGAATGAGCCTACTATATTGCCTGTATCAGTGGGTTCAAACTGTAGTGTGCCATGTTAAAGTGCAGGACACAATTGAAAGTGAAAATACGATGTCCATTACACGTGTAAAAGTCTATGTAGAGTAGACTCTTCTTTTTTTTTAATAACATTTCTGTCGATTATATAATTATGATTTATCAAGGTTTAATAATAAAAATAAAACCTATATTTCGTATTCTCACTTCTACAATTATTAATCATATAGTAAGATCTATTCAGTACACACAGTATTTTTACAAAAATATTTATTGTTTTGTATAATATACTTGTAAATAATTGCTTTTAAAAATATTGATGATGATGTCTTTGACATATTATTATCTTTGATGAGATATATAATTGGAGGAAAGGTACCAAGTTTGTAATAGTGACTTAAATTGATACAATTCCAAATTAAATTGGATTGTATCTATGATGAATACGTAGATTATGTATAAATGTATAAATATATTTCTCATAGAATAGATGATCGATTACTACTACTTTATGTGATATATAGACATGACTTGTGCAACAAATGAAATGTGTCACATTTCTTTGAAAGTTATATTATTCATTCTTTTTTATAATACACTTCATTATTTTTTATAAAGCATATAAATTGTTCTCACATTCATAAAATATATATTGTGTACGTATAAACGTTTTTAATTAATTTTTTGTAAATACCAGTATAAAAATAAAATTTTCTTTAACAAGTAGTAATATTTATGTTTAATTTGCAAAACAAGGCTTAAGAGATATCACCAATGTGCATTATGCTTTCGCACTGTTTCCTTAATGAACTCGTTATGATTAGCATATAAATTCAGGTTTTTATCGACGGTTATCCATTTTACATTATATGCATCATCTCCAGCTGTTAGTGTTATTTGTTCAACGGTACTTCCATGCTCATCATGGAAATTTGAAGCTACAGTTTCCATCCAAGCATTGTCTGTATTTCTAGGATCATCCACATATCCTTTATAGATCTCTTCTCCCTTCTCGAAAAATTCCCTTATAGATTTTTCTAATTCCTTCTTCTCTGCATCATCTTTTCCTAGAGAATTCATAGCTTCTTCCATGAATTCTCTTTTAAGTGTTGTAGAGATGGTTTCACCTGAATCGACCATACCACCAGGAATAGCCCATTCTTTGGAATCTTGCCTTTGTATGGCAACAAATTCTAGAATTGGTTTGTCTGTGTTTTTGTCTATTTCTAATGCTCCTGTTGTTCTTCGTTTCCAACGAGTCACAATTGGATCTGCAGCATGATTTGGTCCCCATCGTCCCAAGAGGCCACGTCCAATGATACCAGTACGACCAACAGGATTTAAAGGATAACCATCTTCATTTATAATATAATCACTCATAAAACTTTTACGATTCACCTTCTCTGTTGACAAGGAATACGTACGTAAAGATATTACAATGAATGATGTAAGAGATAAATATCAGTAACAGCAGATTTCGGTACTATGTTTTTTTTATGCTATTATTTAATAATTCTCCCAATGAAGATATTACAGTAGACCTTCGTGTTAATGACAAGAAAACCATGCATTGACTTCTTTTAAAATGTATCATTTATGGATATAATACACGAGACAGTGATACTTTTGTGGATTGTGAGCATAAACATTGGTGGTAGAGTTCTAGGTTACTATGCCCATGCATCATCTATTTGCGATACATAGCTTTTCTTTATTGACTGCCATAATTTAAGTACCAAAAAGTGATCTTTGTCTAATTTCGCAATATATATATTGAAGATAGTCATCAGTTGGAGAATACACGATATTTATAAAACAAGATTATTTATTATATTTGAGAGAATCAAACATAGAGAAATGCATTGATAATCTTTAAATTTATTAAATACTATATATCTATTAATGGTATATTAAAAACTCATTAAGTAACTGTATCGTACATCCTACAAAATTTAACTCTACAGTGTGTAGCTAATCTTCTGTTTGTAATTTTTTAAGATTTACTATATCGTACAATACAAATTTTTGAAACTAATGTTATATTTTAATTTTAGGTGAAACTAAATACGTATAAAAATCTCTAATACGATTGACTACATACGGATGAATGCATTCATTCAAAAGTCGTTTTAAAAAGTTAACTAAATATTTCAGAAAATATGACATGTATGAAGCTAAACACAACTGTTATAAGTAGAATGTAATGTTATGAATATAAAAGTATTCGCAAATGCCTATAGGGTCGAAAATATCCTTATTAGTCCTTTCGAGACAAATGTCGTGTTTGAAACATATGATATAGTGGTTATGTCCTTCGAAACTTCCGTATATGACGTAATCTTACAATGGAAAAATACGGTTACATTAATGATATGACAACCATATGAAGGACGAATGGAAAAGAAATTTTGATTAAAAACAAAACTTTAATTTTAGAAGAAACACGGAAATAAATTTGGTTAAATAAAATATATAAATCTTTTGGATAAATGATACATGTACTACTACAAATTAAAAAAGAATCGAAATAGGTAATTTGATTATCAAATAATCAATTCTACCATAAAAGCAAAATATATAATTATTTATAATTTTTCATTAATGAACCAGTAATGGATATAATTTTATAACAATTTTACCTGGCTGACATATTTGTGTTATATGTTCTAGAATTATTATACCTAATGCACATATATACGAGTGTTTGATACAGAATATGTGAATATAACTGTTTTAATTAGATCCTAATTCGAATTATTATAAGTTAACGTTGTGTATTACACGTTCAAGGAGCATTCATCGTACAATTAAATAAATTAGACTACTTTCGCATGGGTTTGACAATCATTTTTTGCATATTTTAATAGAAAATTTTATCTGTATTGATTCGAAAGTTAAACTAACGACTGGTGTTTGGTGTACCAGAAAATTCTAGGGTTAGGTACGATCAGTATAAAGAATGTTGAACGAAACGGAAGCATATTTTATATTGTAGTCTCTCACCATCAAAAGAATTCCAATTTGGTTTGAACGAAACATCTTCAATTTCCGGATCCGCCCAGGGTTTACCTTTTAGAACCGGAGCGGTGTATTTGACTGGTTCGTATTCTGGGTATTCAACGTTCCATGGCACTTTATCTTCAGGCACTTCGAACCGTTTCACATTGCTGAATGGATAGATGCCTTGTCTACATTTATAGTGCATCATTTTGACAAATGTAGTACGCATGAAAACGTATTCAGATTATTGTTGAAGTTTACGATGATCAGGTTAAACCAGCTACGACGCAATCTCTTTCAAGTTCTGAAAATTACTTGAAACTCAGTCGGTAAAGTAACTAGAATACGCTTCATATATTGGAAAAAACGAGTCGGTAATATTACATCGTCATGCAGTTTGTTAAAACGACAGCGATCTAAGAATTTTAATAAATCCTGTTTAGAAATATTTATTAACTTCAGAGTATAGTTTAAACACGCATTACTTTGATTTTGAATATATTCCTTGTAACGCAGACGAAGTACCGACACGTGTTATTCAGACAACTACCAGGTGTAGATAATAGGTATACCTCGTTTGTGGTATCGTATAAGATAAATTTGTCACATGATCAGAGATTCATAGTAAACATGAGTTAGGTTTTCTTACCATTTTTATGTCACATATAACGTTATCGATTCAGAAGGAATAAGGATTTATGGAGCTCTAATAGCGTTTAGAATTAATACTAACAAGGAAAGTTTGGCAATTGATACATGCCGAAAAATTTGAATTTTTCTAGAAATAAAGTTCACAGGAACCTAATCACAGTGTCATTTTTCATTTTGGCTCAAGAACGGTTTTAAGAGTTTTAAGCGTGGAATTATTGTATAATTAGGATACAGTCTAAATGCTTTTGTAATACGAGAAACGACTGTGAACTTATTTGTTTTAATCATGTTATATAAATAAATCGAACATATTTGTAAAATGTAATAAATATTCTATGGATCGAAATAAATTATAGTTTATAGAAAAAGATAAGTATTTGTTATGCAGAATTTTATCGACCGAGCTCAAACGCTTATTGTGTGTTATCAGCCTCTGATAAGATAGTTAATCCAGAATTCTATATGCATACTTCGAGTAATCACCTTTTCATATTACCACCAATGATAATACCTTTATACTTACCTTTGTACAATTACAAACATGCTAATTTGTACATAAGTCCAGTCATTTGACCGATCGCGGTAGAAATTGTAGGTAAAAATGAAATGTCGGTAGGTTTAGTATGAACTAATAAAATATATTTCTACAAGACAATTAACCAAATATTTTTTTAGGTCAATAAGATTCTTAAGATTATTTTTTCAAATTAAATTAATTTGTAAAATAATTAAGTTAGGAGTGCTGTATTACGAAATGTTCTGACAACAGTAGTTCATTATGAAATCGCTGGGTAATATTAAAAAAAACTCTTATGGTTAATTGTCCGACAATTTACCAGCTATAGGTTGGTAAGGTTAATAAAATATATATTTCAACGGTAAAATCGAATCATTCATTGTACGAGAATCTTTCTCGTATAATTTAAATAATATAAATAACATCTCAACATTATAAAAAACAAAATAATTATGAAACAAAGGGAATTAGTAGTGGTGATGAGAACAAGCTCGGGAAACGAGGAATTTATGCATCATATTATATAATACATTATAAAACGAACAAATTATTTATAGCGCGTTCTACGAGAATCGTGTCATATGAAAAATTCGTCATAATATCTTTAGCGCGTTGTAATGAATGTTGTTTTAACGAATTAAAAAATTTTGCTACTTACACGGGGTGCTTAACTAATAAGGGAACATATCCAATTGTCTCAGGCTGATTTTGATAAAATTTACGTGGTAGATAGTTCTCAAAATATTATTTGACACGTATTTTTTATCGCCAATCGTTCCTATTGAAAGGGTGAAAACAGCCCCTAAAGTTGGGGGTGAATACAATGTTTTTTTAAATATCTTGAAAACTAGAGGAGCTAGGACAAAAAGTTTTATTCAAAAATATGCGTTTCTGAATGGGCAATTTACTCATGTCAAAAAAATTGTTTATTTATTTATTCGTGTAATTTATTTTTGGAAAATTGTCTTTTTTGTTAATTCATGTTACTAAATATTGTTTCTCATTCGTGAAAATTTATATGTGTAAACTAGAGGTTAAAATTAAGGATGCATGTTTTTGGAAATTTTGATTTTCACCATATAACAATAATAATTATATTGAATCGGGAATTCTTTCTACCGCGCCAAAAGTGTGGCTTCTTTATTATGTTTGTTTTCATAAAGTATGCAAGATTTTAATTTGAAATGTTACACACGACTCTGGTATTATTTTAGAAAGATGTACAAATTTTTATGAAAAGATTTATCGACGAATACATATAAATGTAATACTAGAAACGTGTGTAACATTTCAAATTAAAATCTTGCATACTTTATGAAAACAAACATAATAAAGAAGCCACACTTCTGGCGCGGTAGAAAGAATTCCCGATTCAATATAATTATTATTGTTATATGGTGAAAATCAAAATTTCCAAAAACATGCATCCTTAATTTTAACCTCTAGTTTACACATATAAATTTTCACGAATGAGAAACAATATTTAGTAACATAAATTAACAGAAAAAGAGTAAATTACCCATTCAAAAACGCATATTTTTGAAAAAAAATGTTTGTCCAACCTTCTCTAGTTTTCAAGATATTTAAAAAAAAACATGGTATTCAACCCCATCTTTAGGGACTATTTTCACCTGTTCAATATGGACGATTGCCGATAAAACAAAATACGTGTCACATATTTTTTTTGAGAACTATCTACCACGTAAATTTGATCAAAATCGGCCTGTGACAATTGGATATGTTCCCTTGTAAGATCGCGACCTTGTCCGAGTGACGCGCTTCGTAGAATTTTCCGCGAAAATCGTCCCGCAGTCAAAGGGTTAAAAGGATAATGACATTTTATTTTACGATTTACTTCATATTTATCATTAGCATTAAGTACATTAAAATATTAATAAGAAATGAAAGTCATTATTGTAAATATGTATCTTTGCTTTATTATACAAGACATGTACCTCTAAAATATTCAGGTATTTATACATTCGTTAATAGGCGTGTACAGTTTATTAATAAGGAGCATTTTAATATCTTTTGTAAATATATCCAAAAATATGTACGCACGAGGTGTGATACAGTATATAATTTATTTTAATTTAGTAACATGATATTTCTATCAAAATTGACCAATCTTACGATGTATGTTTCATGTTAAAAATTGACATCGTTATTCGTAGTTGCGAACCGAAGCGATTATATAACAAAATTCAGATAGCCAATAAAGAAAGAAGTAGGAGAATTATAAACGTTCGTAAAATATGCGAATCGGTCAAGTCGTTTTTATGTTTTCCTAGTTGTACTGTAAATTACTAGGAATATTCAGTTATTTTAATGATAATTAAAGATATTCCTCGTCTTAAAATTTAGGTAGCTGTTAAACAATTTTAGGGAATTACAGTTGATTTCTGTATAGTATTACTTCATGATGTAACATAATTGCGATTTCTATAAATTGTAAATATGTATTAAAGACTACTCACATTCCCAATATGCTTTTCACGGACTTATTCATTATTTAAAAACGATTTTGTAAATTAAATGTAATCATCCTGTACAATGGGAATACTCGTATTTTGTAACTCAATAGTGGGCATATACAGTTGTAAAATTCAATGTTATCTCTGTAATGATATGACAACTTATACAATTGTCACTATGGTTGAAGAATGCACGTGTAACTGTATGCAACAATATGTATCTAACAGAGTTATGAGAACCATATATGCATGTTCAAAAAATTTCACTGAGTGTACAAAGGCATGGAAGATTTTGTTCCATACAATCCTTGGCATTATGAAGTATCAAAACATTCGTTAAAAGTGTCGAACTAAGTGTGTAAAATGGGACATATTTACAGTTTTTCAGGGACTTGACCTCTGCTTCGTTCTAGAACACATGCTGGACTATTGTCAAAGATCTCTTTTCGAAGTGTTCTTGAAAGTATCTATGCTGGAAGACTAGATTAAAAATGTCTACAAAACTTTAACAGTAAATTCTATAAAATTCATTTTCCTTCTTTAAATAGAATGAAGTCGTGATTACTTTGCACTCGAATGAATAATACATTTGCATGCCGTACCACTAATGCCCTCGTTCTTAAACTTATTGGCACAGATAATCAAACATACACTTTATAACTCTCAATTACTTTCTCAAACCATGTAAGTCATCCGGAAGTTCATCATCTTTTACTATCATTCATTCTTGGGCCCTTGTATTGATTTTTTTTTTTAAGCTAAAACACTTTTCATCGTTCTCAATGGCATAGATCACCGCACCCAATATTCATGTTTCATACGTAAATGCTATTGCTTGAATCTTAATCCAGGCACAGCTGTCTGAATAAGTAATCGAGAGCCATTGCAATTATCAATTTTCTTGACAAATTTCCAGAGACCCGTTGTTGCTTTGACGTAGTATGATTTAAATTTCATTTGAAAAAATGGCAACTGTATCTAGACTGGAGACCATGTCTTCAAGTGAATCACGGATCCTATTTTCTAGGCCTGCTTGGGGTACAGGCGCGAATTCACGTTACACCGTGTTCCTTGTGAAATGAATCTTGACCAGAAACGTAGAAGGGTTAATTTATCAGATTCCGTGATCGAATTCGTGATATCCCTCGGCACCGGTGAACACGACGTCTACCCAAACACGCATAGCCTCTGCACTCGGGGCCATTAAGTGATATAGCCTGGACGATGTTTTAATGATAAAAGTCAACGAGGGTTGTGGCGATCGTACGGTGTTCATGTGGTCCACGTATACCTCTTCGATTGACTAAACAGAAAAGTATATTAAACCGTTAATAATTCAACAAATTAAAAATGCATTAAAGATATGCGTGAGTAAATAACTTTTGTTAAAACAGTTTTTTAATAGCTTCATTCCTCTCACGAGATATTTAACCATTTCGGTTTAACGTAACATCCTGTATAATGAACGCCAGGAAATAAATCTCTTATTAAGATGATTGTTAAAAAAAAAAAAAAAAAAAAAAAGAGAGAGAGAGAGATTGAATATAGCTATGATTTTCACGTGACCAACCACCAGCCACAATGGCTTCCTCATTAAACTCGAATTTTTATTTTGGTAGTGAAAAACTACGCTTTTGAAAGTTGTCAATATATTAGGTACAGAAAATAATTCTGTGCCTTTCTAATGTATCATTTATCTATAAAGAAAAGTCATATATCTTTTAATCAGATGTCACACATTCCAAGAAAGGACATACTAGGTGGAAAACTAAGTGTTGAAACAATCTGCGTGCTTCATTATTATTTAACATAACAAAATGGAGGGTAAAGATTTTTATTCAAGCTCGAGTTATAAATAAACTGCGGATCTTTATGCAAAATAAAATCTTCGCAAAATTACTCACAACAATTGAACCTAAATAGGAATTTATTTTACTCTTCTTTTAATACCTCTTTATATTATTGCATATTGTGTGCAATGTTTAGTTCTTTGTACATTCAAATTTCCTATAAATGCATAAAAATCCACAATCTAGTTATAAGTAATCAAATATAAAGACATGAAAATCAATTTCTACACCTAACAATTGCCGAGTAGGTACACTTGTAATTTGTTAGAGGACGAACAATAAGCAAAATGTGTTACCTACTGAATTTCATATAGGAGTATATTGGGTATATTGTAATGGCCATCAGGTTGAGACTTAAGTTACGTACAGTGACTCACGAAACTATTTGAACACTTAGTACGAAATACTTTATTAATTACAACGGGTATATTATATAACATTGACTGAAATATTATTAACACTGTAAGGAGGTACGACTCTGCAGATCATATAGGTAAAGTTCCAAAAAAATCGAAATATGTAAACAATAGATTTGAATTACTTCTTGTAAACATAGAGATTGCTGAAGCCACAAAAGTATTTGAACACACAAGAGTGAGTTCCAAGAATCAATGGAAACTCAGTTTTTCGGTCGCTAAATGTAAACATTGATTGTTGTTAGTCATCATCGTACATACATTTGTCAGTCTGAGTCTAGCATTCATTGTGAGATAGTACGATATTGATCATGTATCCTAAAACATCTGAAACTTCTGAAAGTAAGAGAAAATTAATTGTCGAGTGGCGTAAAGAAAGAAAGACGTATGGTGAAATAAGTAAATTATTAAATATAAATAGATCTACGATACATGATATTATTAAAAAATGGAAATCTGAAGGAACTTTAAAAAATAAATACCGTTCAGGCTGACCAAAGAAATTAACCGAAAGGGAAGAAAGAGCGTTGCTTCCCGAAATAAAGAAAAAATCCAAAGCTTTCTGCTACAAAACTTGAAACAATAGTTAAACAGAATTTTAATAAAGATGTGCATCCAGAATTGTCCAGAAGAGTGCTATGTGAAAATGATTATCATGCCAGAGTTTCCAGAAAGAAGCCATATATTAGTGATACTAATAAAAAGAAAAGATTGAAGTTCGCCAAAGAATTTATTAGTAAAGATTCTGTATTCTGGAATAAAGTGATATTTTCAGATGAATCAAAATTTAACGTCTTTGGGTCAGACGGATGCAATTTTGTTTAGAGACAAGCAAATACAGAGATGGACCAAAGAACTTATGTGCTACGGTGATGCATGGGGTGGCTCAGTTATGATCTGGGGATGTATGGCGGCAAACGCGACCGGGAATTTGACCTTCATAGAAGGAACAATGGATAAATACAAATATTTGAATATTTTACAAGAAAATTTAAAGGATAGTGCAAGAAAATTGGGTATATACGAAGACTTTTACTTTCAGCAGGATAATGATCCTAAGCACATTGCAAAAATTGGTAAGGAATGGATTATGTATGTATAATACACCACCACAAAGCCCTGATATGAACTCGATTGAACATCTATGGGCAATAATGGCGAAAGAATTACAAAAATTTAATATAACATCCAAAACAAGTAGTAGTAAGTAGTAAGTTTATTAATTTCAGCCTTTCGGCTGCGAGGGTAAACCTACCCTCTACAAGCTCTTCTATACTTATATTAGCATTTTCTCGCTCGTCGCAATCTGCTAAATAGCGCTTCAGAGAACCTTACCCCCTTCCACAAAACTCGCACCTTCTCTCCTCACTCGCAAGTCAATATCTATTCCAAGGTTCTAAATTTCCGCACCTTGCCTTTGTCATCAAACTTTGGCTGTTTAATTTTCCATCTTTCCTTAGATACTCTGGCCTCTGGCCCGTAAATAAATATCTATACCTACTGTTATATTTAGCCTCTCTTATTTGGTTAAACTGCACTTGTTCCTGATTTTCCCTATCCCTATTCACCAGTTCCAGAGTTACTCTATCACTCTCCCCTCTCAATCTCCTAATCCCTTCCTGACTATATTCGTTTCGTATGCCATACTCTATCCTTTCTTTACCATTTTTTGTCCTTCCCTGTTCCTTTTCTCTAAGACATTCTTTCACTAAATTCTTTCCTACTGCCTTTCTAATTCCCTCTTCAAACTTTAGAGCTTTCTTTCCTGCTTCTATTCTAATCTTTTCTCTTTTTGTTTCTGCTAATAATATATATCTTGGCGTTTCTCTGCTTAAACCTAGAATCCATCTCACAAATTTATATTGCACTCTTTCCAACTCCGCCCTTTCTTTCCACCCATATAGTTCCGCCCCATACAACATCATGCTCTTGACTACACGATCAAACATAAATACCTTCCACTTGAAACAGTCTTTAAACTTTCTTTCCTCGATGCCCCAAACTTGCCGTATCAGTACGTTGGCTTTTTTAGCCCTTTCTCTCACATGTTCTATCATGTCTCCATTTCTTTGAAATTTGACCCCTAAGAATGTAAAACTCTTGACTGACTCTATTTCCTGCCCTTTTCATAGCCATTTCGTTTTCTTCACCCTACCTCCTCCTTTGCTGAAGATCATTATTTTTGTTTTGGTCGTGTTCAAAATCAAGCTTCTCTTATCTAAAAATCTATCCAATCTTTTTATCATTTCTTCCATTTCTTCTAACCTTTCTGCCAGTAGCATTAAGTCGTCAGCATATGCCACTGACCACACTTTTTCCTTGCCACATACTATGCTCCTCCCGCCTAGCCAGCCCTGAATTCTTTCTCTAAATCCGAGATGAAAATTGTAAACAACAGCGGGCTCAGAGGGCATCCTTGTCTGACTCCGTCTGCTGTCTGAAACCGTCCTGATACCTTTCTGTTATACCTAATCGTATTCGAGGTCTCTTCATATAATTCTTTCGATCTTTTGATTAGTCCTTTTCTTACTCCTCTCTGCACTATCACTTTCCATAGCTTTGTCCTATTGACCTTATCAAAGGGCGCCCTCAAATCTACGAACAAAGCATACAATTTGTCCTTCTTTTTAATCGTCACCCTCTCCGCCAAATGTTGCAGGATATATACATTATCCATCGTGCTTCTTTGTTTCCTAAATCCCGCTTGAATATCGGGTAAAATCCCTTTTTCCTCTACGTCGCGTTTTAGCCGCTTGTTTAGGATGTTTGCGTAGATCTTGTACACCGAATTGAGTAATGTTATTCCTCTGTAATTTGTTACCTCTTCTTTATCCCCCTTTTTCAATAAAGGCACAATAACTCCATTTCTCCATTTGTCCGGCAAACCACCACCTCTCCACACCTCTTTTATTATTTCGAAAATTTTCCTTTTCGCCTCACCTTCCATATGCACCCACGCCTCGCCTGGTATTTCGTCTTCTCCGGCAGCTTTTTCCTCTTTATCTTCTTCATTACCTCTTCAATCTCGCAGTCCGTTAGTTCGTCTTCTTCTTCGACTTCTACTCCTAACTCTCTCCTTTCCTCTTCATTCACTCTCTCCGTCCCACCCAGGAGTTCTACAAAGTGTTTAACCACTCTCCCATCGTTATGGATGTTGCTCCTTCTGTATTTCTTTTCCTTTCTTTATTGATCTATGTCCAAACTTGCCCCTCTGTTTTTACATTTCTTATTTTCTCTATCTCTTCCTCCCTTTTATCCACCTTCTTCCTCTTACACATTTCTCGAAACTCTGCTTTGTTTCTCAAATACTCTTCTCTTGTTACTTTTCTATCTTCCATTTTTTATACATTACCTTCACCTTTCTTTTTTCTCTACTGCACTGTTTGTCCCACCAAAATTTATGTCCTGGTTTTCTTCTTTTCCTTCTGACTATTCTTTTATCCATACTTTGCAAAACCGCTGCCTTTAATTGTTGCCAACCTGGCTTTCCATTTCCTTCAGCAACCTGTATGTTCCTGATTTTACTTTTATATTGCTCTATGCTTTCCTTTCCTCAGCAGATCACTTGTTGGACAGTTTCGGTCTCTTCCTCCCTTCCACCTATATCCGCTCTCGCCTGTAATCTCGCTGTAGCAACCAAAGGTTGGTGGTCAGATTCTATTCTGTCCTCCACCTTAAGATGTACCATTTCCTCTAGCCCCTTTTCATTACAGATCACATAATCTATTACCGTTGCTCCTCTGGCACCTACATACGTCCATTCTCCTTCCTCATCTCCTGTAATATTGCCATTCGCTATATGCCATCCTCTTTCCTTAACCATTTTTAGCAGTTGCTCTCCTTCATTATTTTTCGTTAGATCTGTCGGATTCCTTCTGTTGTCCGTTCTCTTCACTGTCTCACTAGTCTCTACCTTACCCTCTCTTCCTATTCTTGCATTCATATCCCCGCCTATTAACGGTATTTCTCCTTCTTCTTCTTTAATCACTTCTTCCATCTTCCTTGCTAATTTCTTCCACTGTTGACCATTGTAAACCGAAAAAATCCTCCATGTTCTATCTTCAATTTTCATCCTCTTTTCAACCGGTACTGTTGTCCAACTTTCTTGCCATTGAGCCCATCTCCCATCCACCCTTATTTTTTGGTATCCTACCTTCACCTCCCTCCATTTTCTTCTTTCTTCCCTAGCGATTGCTACTAGCTTGTTTTGAATTTCTCTCCCATGCCTCGTTAAATCGTGATGCATGAAGACCTTTGTGCCTCTTAACCTATCTTTGTATCTTATGATCTCCTACTTGTCCTCCCAATTTCCCAATCCCAGTATTAATACACACCTTTCCTTCCTACCGATTTGTGTCACCCAACTTATCTTCCTTCTTACTTTTAATTCTTTCTCTAGAAAATCTTCAATTTGCGTTTTTACATTTCCTTGCCGTATCTCTAGACCCTTTATTACTACATTATTTCTCCGTTCTATTTTTTCATGTTTTTCCATCCACCCTTTTATCTTTACCACTTCCCCACTCATCTCTTTTTCAACCTTATTAACCACTACTGCCTTAATATTTTCCTCCGATTCCCTTCTTTCCTGTTCTGAGTTCAAGTAGCTGTTTCCCTCTCCCACTTTTGTTATCCGCTCTACTTTGCTTTCCACATCCATCATTCTTTTCTCCATTCCTTTTACTTTAAACTCCCATCCTATTTCTTTCTCCCCCATTTCTTTCCGAATTTCTTTAATTTCTTCCGTTATCCTATTATTATTTGTACGCATTTCGTCTTTCAGACCTCTTATTTCTTCAACCAATCCTGCTAATACTTTCAATATTTCTTCATTGCCTGCGTTTCCCGCCGTGGCCTCCCTCCTGTCCTCCACTATCTCTTTCCTACCTCTGGTTATATATTTCTCCATTCTCTCCTTCTCTTTCTCGTGTTTCGGTGTTTTTTTCGGCGTTTGTTGGGCGCCCTCTTCTTGTACTTCTCGTCTCCACCGCACTTTTCTCTAACGCTCCTGCTTTACCTACTGTTTCCTCTTCGTCCGAGCTCTCTTGTCCTGCTCTATGGCCGTCGTTAACCATAACCTCTACCTATCAGACAATCGTCCGACCCGCAGAATTACACCTCTAACACCCCTATTTCTTTATATTAAACTTCGCCTTTACGTACCCTTCCTCTCCCCCTTATACTCTACCTAATTCTTTTACTCTATGTGTATACCTATCGCATTCTTATTACTTAAATCGCTTTTAACACTCATAGCACTCGCCACCCATACACGCCACACCACTCCTTCTAACCAAGTCCACATCCAAAACAAGTTTAAAGGAAAAAATACTCCAAGGTTGGAATTCTATTTCGCCAAGTATTACAGAAAAGTTAGTAAACAGTATGCACACTCGCTTACAGGATATTATTCGTGCCAAATGCGGACCTACTAAATATTAAAGATTTAAAAATTACTTGTTCAAATACTTTTGTGGCTCCAACAATCTCTATCTTAACAAGAAATAATTCAAATCTATTGTTTACATATTTCGATTTGTTTGAAACTTTACCTATATAATCTGCAGAGTCGTATCTCCTTACAGTGTTAATATTATTGCAGTAAATGTTATATAATATAGTTATTTTAATTAATAAAGTATTCCGTACTAAGTGTTCAAATACTTTCGTGAGTCACTGTATATAGATTTGCTATAATGGAGATCAGGTTGATAATGTAACGTAGTAAGTAATGTAACGAGAAAATATTTTCACTTAAAATACAATCATAAATGTTCGACTATAAAGGGGCAGATTCAATTATTACACTTAATATCTAATGTCTTTCGAGAAATGAAAGAAAACTATTCTTATGACTCTGTGATCCTACCTGGAAGTAGATCACTCCGCGCGCCTTCCTGGAGGAGCTGTCGCTGTAGTACGACAAGGTCTTCCTCTTCCTGTCGAAGACGAACCACCGTTTGTTCCAATGGTGGAACTTTTTGCTCATCTTGGACAGATAACCGCTGCAACTGGTCGTGTCGACCGTGACATCGTGTATCAGGGGTAACTGGTGCCCGGCAGTCTCAATGTGATGCCTCAGGTCCAGGGACTCCGACTTGATGGGGAGGTATCTCGTGAGCGGCCTCTGCACAAGTCCATCAATCATCGAATTTACAAGCCGTGAAACGAACTGTCCCGGTTAAATGGTAATTCTATCGGTGGTGTCATTCGTCACGCGTTTCACGAGCAGGATGTAAGGAACGCGCGACGTGAAAATAGAATCTACGGATTCGATGCGAGCGTCCAACATTTAAGGGGTTACACCGCCTTATTATTTATTTATTTATTTACAGTCGCATCAATCCTTAGGTTATTACCGACTAACACATAATTTCCAAGTTAATTTCATTTATAGTATATCCTCGTATATTCCGATTTCTTTCAAAAATCTTAGGGTTTGTTCTATCTTCTCTGGGTTACCTAGTTAAAACTTCGTTGCATGGTCGTTTTAAAAAATCGAATTTTCTTTTTGTTTAAAGTACTCTCTATATATACGAAAATGCGTTTTTCACGAAACAGCATTTTCAAGATCGGTGGACATTTTGGCCTCGCCAATTTTCAATAAATCTACTTAAATCTCATTTTATATAATCATCATACGTTTTTCTAGTGAAATACGAAGGATGTTTTTTATTATATTAATATTTGTATTTTTTATGGAACTTTAAGTAACGCAATTTTAGGCTAAATTTCTATGATTTACTTTGGATTATATTATATCATATTTTGTTATATATTCATATTATACCATATTAAATATGACTAAATATATGTTTTTATATAAACATATAATTATAGAGATGTACAAACATGGACAATTAGCTAGAATACTTGAAACGTTATTGTTATATTTAATGTTATACGGTTAAAATCAATTGCCAGACAGTAATTTGTGATTACGTAAATTTTGTATTTATTAGTCAGCAAATGAACTAATTTGTTGAAAACCAATCATTGTGTTTTGTGCAGTTTGAAAAGCTCTATAAAGTGCTATTTTCATTTTGAAATGTTAAGCTGAAATATCACTATAAAATGTATTCGTAAATATACTATTATGTTTGGGGGCTTTGTTAAACAATCCAATAATAGGGTTTTTTTAAACGTTTCTGATGGAACCAAAATGACCACATAAAATGAAATTAAAATGAAAATTGATTCTGTAATTTACAGCTCTTACAAGTGAATGGTGATAACTAGACTGCGGATCTTTATGCATTTATAGGACATTTGAATGTACAAGAACTTACAAAATGCGAACAATATGTAAGAATATAAAAAAGATTGAAAGTAAAGTTCATGTTACAATATTTGCAGAATAAAAGAAATTCCTATTTAGGTTCAATTTTTGCAGGAACGTTCGCAAAGACCTTATTTTGCATAAAGATCCGCAGTCTAGTGATAACGAGGGTGTCAAAGTGTACTTTGAATGCTAGTGGGTTTTTATTTTCTTCCGTTCTCTAGGATAGGAGTAGACAGCCAATCGGACCATGAACATGAAAGAAGCTGAAAGCTCTACTAACATGCGTTTCACGTTTCTGTGAATGTTGAAACATCGTCTCAAAGAACGTTTATTTTTATGATTATAGAGCCTATAATGAGAGAGTCTCATGCCGAGAGATTTGTAAAAGACGACAGCTGTCAGTCCTGCGGAGTACTTTAGCTGTCTGGATTATTCGAATAAGCTCGTTTCGAAGCCGTCTTTGCAAACAAAATTCAATTTCATGCTTCTTTTCTACAATACAAATGCACGAATACAGGAAGCATACATCTTTAAGAAACGAAGAGTAATCCATTGCTAAATAGTTAAGATACAGTGTGTATAGAATGTATTCGAACACCGATCAATTTCCCAAAAAGCTTTTGTGTGAAATTGTAGTTTCTTAACTTCTTTTTTTGTAATCAATAATATTTTACATATTCTCGGAAGTCTCTAAGATAGATATAGTCCAAACAACATTTACATTAATATAATTTGCGTAATTAACAAAAACATGCGAAAAGTGGGTAAAAGTATAGAAGCAATAAGTATTTGTACGATTCTTATGTCGAACCATTTACAGTAGAGTTTGTAACGTAAACACATTAGTTTATTGCTCTGTGCGAATTAGAAAACATCAAATTTCCAGGAAAGTACTCTTAAACAGTTGTGCGAATACTTATTGCTTCAACATTTTTATCGATTAATTGTTTTTTTCTAGTTATTTTCGTAACTTACATAAATGGCAATTTTTTTTGTAATCTATCTATTCTAGAGATTTCCGAGAATATGTAGAATGTCGTTGTTTATAAAAAATAAGTTAATAAATTACAATTTTACACAGTTTTTTTGCAAATTGATCAGTGTACGAATACTTTCTACAACACTGTATGTGTGTTTTCAGATTTTTTCCGCGATGTAATACCTATGATAATGCCTATTGTTTAAATATTTATGATTTCATCAAAATTGCCGATCAAGAATCAATTCAGGTTTTTTGTATATTTCATATTATTTTATGGGTTTGCAATCTTATCTCCACGTGAAAATTTCACGTTATACTACTTTGTAATAATTTATATTTGTTGAAGATTTCTATTATATATTAGGTTTATCGTAAAGTTCTGTCCATTTTTATACTAAAACAAAATAATAAATTTTTCATACCTTGAATAAATTTGATTGAATAATACAATTTTTATCGTTATTTATGACATCTTGCCAGCGCGATTGCAATTTTTATATCATTTTTAATGAATATGCGCATATTTGTTGAAACTTGTTGCAACCGGAACGTACAGAACTTTACGGTGGACCTAACATGAAAAACTTCAAAAAAGTAAAAAATTACGCCAAGTACATGAAAAAGTAGAGATCCCCCTAAGAAAATCTTTACTTCCAGGCCACGGACATCTAGGCAAATATCTAAACAGTCTCAGTTTGTGGTTGATACACTATTTAGCTTCTTCATTTCACCTCCAAAGTGCGGAGCAGTCACTTTGCATGAGTTGTCATTAGGGTCTGAACGTCAGCACTGTTGAACACAGCATTTTAGCTGCGCATAGTTGGAAAGCACCGAATTTGATATTATGTTACACAGTGTCACCTTGCACTTTACTGGAAAGGACCTTCATGTACTGGCAGCTCATTTTGATTCCACATCTTTTTCTACTTTCTTGTACTTTTTTATGGGGATCTTTTATTTTTCTATGATAACTCCATGAGTCCTCCACTTTGTCATGTACTTGGCGTAATTTTTTTACTTTTTTGAAGTTTTTTATGGGGATCTCACTTCTTTTTACAAAGATAATTTGTATAGCGAATGACTTAAAATAATAGAAAATGGGAGATCAGTTTGAATCCTTTAAGGTTTCAAAAGTATGCGGAACGCATTGCAGGAAGTCTCATTGCATGAAATTTATTAAAGAAAAAATGTAATCACTTTATCAGTAACATTTAAATGCAACAAGATTTTCTGTCATGTGTCGTGGGTACTTTTGAGAAATTAAAGGACTAAGTCTGACCTCTCTTTTTCTATATTATTGTAATACAATAAATTATCTATTACAAATAGTGGATCTCTGTTCATTTTCTCATTTTCTCATTTTCTCATTATTTAAATTTGTTACAAGACTTTTTGCCATGCGTTCTGTGAACGTATGAACTGTATTATAATACAATAAATTGTGCGTTAGAAATAGTTAATTTCTGTATTCATTTCTCATTTCTTCTTTAATAAATTTCTTGCAACGAGACTACCTGCAATGCGTTCCGCGTACTTTTGAAACCTTAGAGGGTTCAAACTGATCTCCCATTTTCTATATTATTGTAATCACTTTATCAGTAACATTTAAATTTCTGGGAACAAGACTTTCTGTCATGTGTGGTGCGTAATTTTGAGGATTTAAAGAACTAAATCTGATCTCTCTTTTTCTATGTTATTGTAATACAATAAATTATGTGTTACAAATAGTGGATCTCTGTTCATTTTCTCATTATTTAAATTTTTTGCAACAAAACTTTCTGCTATACATTGTGTGTACTTTTGAAAATTCTAAGGACTGAAACTGATATTGCAATCTGATAAATTGTGCGTTACAAATAGTTGATTTCTTTTGTTCATTTCTTGCTTCATCTTTAACATTTAAATTTCTTGCAGTGAGACATCCTGCCATACGTTCTGTATACTTTTGGAAACTTAAAGGACTGAAGCTGGTCTCTTTCCTATATCTGGCTTCAGACACATGTATGTGTATGTGTAAGTTGTAACAAACTTAAATGTTAAAAAAGAAGTATGAAATGAAAAAAGAGGTCTACACTATTTCTAACCCATAATTTATTATATTATAATACCAGTTTCAGTCTTTTATGTTTCCAAAGTACACATAATGCAACGCAAAATGCCTTGTGGCTAGAAATTGAAATGTTAAACATGAAATGAAAAATAAAGAAAGAGATCCACTGTGTGTAACGCACAATTTATTGTATTAGAATAAGATTCACAAGTATGCACAATTTAAATGTTAATAAATAAAATGGGAAAATGTACAAAGAGACCCACTATTGGTAACGCACAATTTATTGTATTATAATTCCAATTTCAGTCCTTTAAGTTTTCAAAAGTACGCACAATGCATGTCAGAATGTCTTGTTGCAAGAAACCAAATGTCACAAATCCAAACTGACAATTACAGGCTAGAAACGAACGAGAGGCATGAGTGACAGCCATATTACAATTCCGACCGACGAACCTTGCCGACTGATTCAGAGACTCGACGAATCGACGAACGGCCTTAGCTCCTATTGGCTAAGTGTTGACGAAAAATTCCTTGTCAAAGGAAAAGAAAAAAAATGCTGCCGTTTTGACACATTCATGATATGATATTACGATATCTCTGTCGTTCGTGGACCGATTTTATTGATTTTGGTTTTATTCGAAAGCTTGTGTGCGATTTACATCAGAAAAATCCCTTTAGATTTAGAAAATGGAGCAGGCATGACGAGATATTAATGACAGAAGTTTCGAGTTAGGTTGGAATCGCGTTTTCTCGAGTAAAAGATACGCGGTAGCGCCAGCGCCAGGCATATATGGAGAGGCTATTTTTTCATGTACTTGGCGTCGAGACGCTACTACGTCTCTAAATATGTCTCCCAAAAATGTTGTAACACCTCGAAATGGGTGGTTTGAGAGGTGATTTGAAACAACTTTTTCCTTAGCGAAAATGTTGTCCGAGGTTTCGTTAAGGAGATATTAAAGGAAAACACTGACCAATCAGAGCGCGCGTATACCGTTGGAGCGACCGCGGTAGCGACGGCTACGTGCTGAGCGGCCGCGTTCGTACGCGAACAAGTGACTCGACGCATATCGAAGGAAATTGGACGCGGCCGCTCAGCACGTAGCCTTTGCTACCGCGGCCGCTTCAACGGTATACGCGCGCTCTGATTGGTCAGTATTTTCCGTTAATATCTCCTCAACGAAGCCTCGGACAACATTTTTGCTAAGGAAAAAGTTGTTTCAAATCACCCCCCGAACCACCTCTTTCAAGGTGTTACAACATTTGTGGGACACCCTGTATATATTTTTACATATACATATACATACATATATTATATATATATATTATACAATATACAAATACAATATACAATTGTATTTTGTTATTGAAAACGATTATTATTCTAATTTTGACAAGTTTACGATATTAAAAGATTTAAGTTTAGTCGGCACCCGTACACACAGGTCGTCACGCGGCCGCCGACTATAGTCGGCATCCGTAACGAAAGGGTTAAGTTACAGTTTTGATGAGAGAGTTCCCTAAAAATTAAATTTATAAGCCAACTGAATACTGTACCTGTAGTTTAGCCTTTTCACGATGTTTGACTGATTGCAGCGGTCCAAGGGTGTCCATTTCACTGGAAGTTTGTGAAAGAGGACGACTTCCGTTTCCGTCGATTATTCCTCCACTGTTATTGCTAAGTCTCTCGCCTTCCATCGATGTTCTCCGATCGTCTCTCATCTGCAACAATAATGATTATCGCGTATCGATTCTGTTTTTCATTAATTTTATTTTATCCTTTCAAAAAGGAATAGTTTCTGGGTTGTTTATATGTGTACGAATTAATAAAGACTTCGACTAAATAATAAATGGGACGACTTTCAAAGATACTTCATGTCTTCATCAAGAAACACCGTACACAATGTCCGCAAATTCCGTACACAATGTCCGCAAATTTCTTTAACGTACCTTACAAGAATTGCTTTCATTGTATAGACTTTATGCATTAAAGTGGAAAAATATTAGACAATCTTGATGAGTACTTTTGTCATTACTTCGACGCTTCCCTTTCAAGACATCTTACAAAAATCAACAAATATAAGAATGAAATGTACATATTTAATTTCATAGATGAATGTTAGAATTTTCAACGAAAAAAAGTATAATAGAATTAAATAAATTTATATGTAAATTTGAGAATTTAGAGTTTTGTTTTCAAAGTATAGTTAGTTCTAATTGGTTAATTATTAAATTAATATCATATTAACATTGGAGATCTATTAAATTAGGTATATAAATGAATACAGTATAGAAACAAATATTGAGCTATGTTTTTTGATGGAAAATAGTAACAAACATATAATTGAGATTCATAGTTAATTATATTTTGCAAATAAATTTCGTCCAAATTATTTAATCTACATAAAAATTTGTTAGATTTCATCCTAGTTTTTGCGTAAAATGGTAATTAAGTGCTAGTTAAGTGTTCCTTGAGATATTTTCTTTAGAGAGAAGAATTTAAGCAATGTTATTATATCTTTTAAAATATTTTAGGTATATTTTAATGTATATTTGGTTATTTTTTCAATTCAATTCAAGCAGACATCTTTGAGATATCGCGTTTCTTTTCGAAACTACATTTTTCCAGTCCGTGAAAATGATGAGTCAAAAACTAATCGACCGACCGTTTTCAAACTTTACATACGTTTTCTTTATTTAAATGCTTTGAATATGAACTAAACATTCGAATGAAATTATTGTTTCAGGTATGTTTTTTCTATTCAAAATAACGACAAAAAAAGTAATAAAAATTCATACTTTTTCTTTAAACACTTCTAGAAAATTCAATTTTCAACTTTTTTGACCACAGTTTAGTTCGCATTCTTAGAAAACACGTTAACTATGTAAGAAAAAAGTTTCGTTGATATCAGATAACAATTGTGACCCCTAGAATTTTCACTGATAACAGACTGGGACGAAAACTTGCTACAGTGTACAGCTGATGTCTCTAAGATTTCTGTTCAAACTTCGAAATGAATTGAAAAAATTTCCGAATGTTCTTTAAAACACACCTAAAATATCCTTAAAGTTAAAAAGGAATTAATTAACTTTTCCCTGTAAAAAGAAAATCACGAAAAACACTTAATATTTGGCCTCCAAATTTGGTTTTCCTCTTAAAACCGTTATTTAATCGACAACAAAACACGAAAAACTTATATGAAAACGTGCACGTATCGCCTCTAAGGAGGCCGAGACAATACGGGCAGAGGTGCATATTCGCTTCTAAGCCACGGTTATATTTATAAATCCCAATGCGAAGAGCACCGTGGCGCACCTGTTTACGCGTCTCGTTTAAAAAATCTTTTCGGTCAACAGAAATAATTCTGGGCTTCGTTGCAAAGGAACGGAAGTGCGCGGTACATTTTTCACACGTGCTTCCGAGTGTTGCGTTGGAATCAGGTTCGTATATCGCGGTAAGCCTTAAAAGTGTCAGTGCTGGCTATAAATTCGTTGCTAATATTTTTATCTGCTCGTCAATTTGAGGGAGGAATTGCTTTTCTTCGGGCCAACAAATGCGGTTTCATCAGCATTTTTTATTGAAGAAAGTATACAAGATATTAATCTGGAATTTTGCATACGCTTTCATTACTGTCTCAGTATGATGTACCAATTTTTAACAGACTTCGAAAAGGAGGAGGTTACTCAATTCGACATGTACATTTTTTTTTTTATGTATGTTACTCGATTACGTCCAGACGGCTTGACCAATCAGGATGAAACCTGTTGCATCTTGTAAAGCATGTCTCCGGGGTGGTCCCATTATCAAAAAATTTTGAGATTTCTCATCTTTTACCCGTTTTTTTTGTTGCAAAAAACCGAAAAATTTTGTATTGCTTCTTATTCCGAAACGGAATTCTTGCATCTGGTAGGGCTTCGTTGCCTCTTAAAAGCTTAAAAAGACATTTTTATCGCAAAATTGTACTACTTCACGTACGTTCGGCCTGAATTCGATGAAATGGATGAAATCCTTTACATTTTGCTGCCGGACTCGTTTTCGAGATGATCTCTTTGCAAAAATGATTTTTCTTATTGTTTATAACTATTGTTATTGAAAATTCCTATTTTTTAGGAATCTCGATTTTTTTTTTAAGAAAAGATTTACCCAACGAAATAAATATTACGGCCCATTTACCGTAACGTCGCAGAATAAACATTGGTCACTGACTGACAAGATTTCTGCCGTTATCAGTAGCCAATTGTGTATAACGATGAAACATCTACGCTTCTCTTATTATCTAAATATACCAACCATTTTTTTTTTATCGTATCATGTCTGGTAATGGGAAATAGATTCGCTACAATGATGCGAGAAAGGGACAGTGGAGAGTTAAAGATACGAAACAAAACCTGCAACGTGATTAGTGGGGATTTGAACTTTAAAAACTAGAGAGATCTTACTTTTCTTCATAATCAACTAATCAGTTCAATGATTAAGATTAAATAAATAATTATTAGGTGTTGAAGTAGTACATTGCAATGTATAACAAAGTAAAAAAAAAAGAAAAATAATAAGTAGATAAAATTTATAAACTGATGTTAATTAATAAATAAAAATAAATTCACTGTTGTCATTAAAAAGCAGTGTATAAGAATTACAGTTGAATTCACGAACTGTTAATCAAAAAATAATAAATAAAATCATTGTTCTTCTTTAAACAGAGGTGGTTAAAAATTACAAACGAATTTATGAACTGATCGGACATAAGATGTCTCGTAAATTTTCATTTTGTAGCGTGTAAAGGACGGGAATTAATGGATTGCTGGAAATAACTCAAACAGGCGTTCGTGGTCGGTCTGCAGCATGCTGTTAAGCACAGTTAACGAGAAAAATTTGTGCAATGAAGCAGGAGTCGCGAGCGGCGTGGGCGAGTGCGACGATCCGCCTTTTGTCTTCGTTCTTCCATTCGTTAAAGGGCTCGTGTTATTTTTTTTGTTCTTCACAACGAAACCCGTTCGCATTTAAAAGCGTCACGCACCGATCCAAAGAATAGCACGACGAAACGGGGCGAAACATTAATTGATTTGAAAGCGAACCACGTATGATTCAACAGATTTTTGTTGAACATGTCAAAAGAAATATTTATTACAAGAACAAGCTTCAAAGTTACATAATATCAAAGTTAACAGTATTTTCCTCACAATTTAATATATTTATTAAGGATTTGAATTATGTTTGTAAAATAGAAATTAAACACGAAGAGTCTGTGCACACATATACATGCACTTTGGATTTACATTTTAAAATAAACGCAACTTTAATTAATTTATTATTAAAAAAATTAAAAATAAGGAGGAATAATATGGAGAAAAGAACCTCACCAATTAAAAATAAAGTAATGGCTGTGATCGTATGATAGAATAATGGTTCTAATTAATTATATTTATATTAGATATATATAGCTCGTTTTGTTTATTCATCATTATATTCATAAAACTATGTCATTATAAATATTAATAATAATAATTCTTTTTCTACCATATACTATATATAAATAAAAGTACTATTTTTGTCTTATTAAATTATGATTGAAATGGAATTAATATAAATCATGTCACACATATACGTGATGTTGTTTTCCTGATTATTGTATAGTACTTTTAATCCTCATTATGTAAGTAAGAGTACTATGCAGTAACAAGAAAAATAACATGTATTTTAATTAATTAGCGCCACTATTTCACCATATGACTAGTACTATTACTTTATTTCTAATTAAGAAGGTTCGTTTAAAACAATTGGCGTTACATTTCTCCTACAAATCAAACTTCTACGAGTACTAAATGTATTAGTATAAGAATTGCACTCTTAATTTTCAATATTGCTGATACTACTTATATTTGTAGCTTGTCACCTTTTATCTAAACTATATTACTAACAATATTACAAATTTGTAAATAATATATTAAATAATAATATACAATCAAATAAATTTGTATTTTCTTCGAAACGAGCATGTAATATGTGTTTATTCGTTTTATAAATCACCACGGAATTAACTATGCGAACGTTTGAGAACAATGGAAGCATACGTGCACGTAATTCTACCAGTTCAAATGAACTGACACTCATTACTGCTTTACATCATCTCCTAACAGTCATTAACCTCGTATTGCATAACGTGCTCAATGGAGAACATAATAAAAACATTTTCGGTAAAACTTTTTCGGAGATACTTAATAGTAACTTGTTCAACTCTAATTTATGAATATATCAATAATGACGAAATAATGATTATTTTGAAACATTAAACAAAATTCACATGTTAGAAGGTAAAGCTAAGTTTGAGCAAGGTTGTTAATATTTCTTAGTTAAAAAGGAAACTAAAAGAGAATCGTGTAAGGCATACATTCCTCTTCGAATTTGGCAAATAATAGATACACTGCGCAGGAATTGTGAGTTTCAAGATTTATGGTAACGTTGGTTCAAATGTTGGGACAATCTTTTTAACATCATAATCCCTAACGACTTTGACGTATTGAAATTTAGTGATTTCTGTAAACGGGATATTAAAAAATGTAGTATCAAGAAAAGCTTGTATAAAATAACTACGATATGAAAAATTAGTTTATACGTTGCGTGTATCTGTACGCATTGTTTTTTAATACAATTTACTTGAACAAAAATACCAAGAATGTGTTAGATAAAATCTATTTAAAAAAATGTATTATCCGTATTTTCCAAAGCTAAGATTTATTCTAAAACAAATCATTAAAAATATATATTTAGAACGCAAATAATTTATTACAGTTTTAATTCGCCTACTATTTAGAATTATTCTAAAAGATATTTTTAAATTCTTTCACGTTAATTCAATAAAAATTTATTACAGAACTATTTTGGCACATATACTAATTGACGTCATATGAAAATTCCACACACACGCACAGCAAAACTATTGTTTCTAATATAAAAATACAAATTCCTCGGTTATGATGTCTGTGTTAAGGATAATCTCATGCGTCTATTACTATTTTTAGCATCCGAACAATACACAATCCCACTTTGTGTCTCATAAATTCCACGCGCAGCTCATACCTTTATTTCTCCGTGTAGCGGAAAAAAATATCGAGCGAGCAAGGCATGATTCAAAAATTGCAAAAAAAAAGAGTCGTCCCGAGCTGGATTCATGGCTGAAACAAGGATCAAGAAAAAGGATAAAACGACGAACACAGAAGGAAACATGGAGGGTAATGCAAAGCATACAAAACTAAACAAAACTAAACAAAAAGAAAATCTATCACTTACGCGTCGTCTACGGACGTGCTTCTTAGTTCTGTTCTTCATGTAACTTATCCACATAAGAGACATTCTTAACGACGATACAACTATGTACAAACAACGAGAACAATACGACAGCGGTGCTACGACAAGAGTGAAAGAAGAAGAGGATCCGTTCGCTACCCGAAACAGTAGTTATCCGACGTCTAATGTTCTTTTGTTAGAGCAAAAAGGACTCGATTGGCTCCAAGACACTCGATCTTCTTTCCAGGTACTCTCGTCGACGTTTAAAACTGGATGAACGACGGCGAAAGACTGATGCCGGCGGACGAATGTTCATCGGTATTATTCGCGGGTTAAAATGCGACGTCTCCCTCTCTCCGTCGCGGCGTCGACACGTCTTTCTGCGCACGAAAAAATCGCGGCCCACCCGTTGGACTCATTCACGGGTAAAATTGTTCATGCACCGAACGTTCCCGCGATTATGCGTTTGTTTAACAAAAAGGGAGAGACTGGGGACGGTGACGCTTCTGCGTGCCGATCGCAGAACATGCGTCATTCGTGTGCCACGCTTTTCAGCAGTGAGGACTGCCGAGGGGGAACTGTTGGTCGCCGATTTTCATGAAACTTTGATATTTACTCATTCATTTGGACGAACCTAGCAACTATGCCACAGGTTAGGCCAATCAGTAGAGAATTAAAATAGCGTTTTTGTGACAAAAATAGTAACAGCAAACCGATTGTGCAGTTACATA